GTCCGCGGCTGCCGCAGCCCCTCGGTGCTGCGCGCTTTCCCGGTGGCGGGCCGGGCGCAGGGTGCGTTCCCCGCTTGCCTGGCGCGGCGGGGCTTGTAGACTTTGGGGCAAAGTGGAGGAAAGTGTGGGTTTGCGGGGGTATGAGTGGGGAGGAGAGTTGCCTGTGGGACCCGCTGCGGGGCAGGTAGGGCGGGGGCCCGGCGGTGCCGGGCCGCGAGTCTGGAGCCGCTCCCCGCGGAGGTGGAGGAGGCAAACAGCCTGCTGCCATTGGAGCGAATATTCTTAAGTGCAGACCGGTGCGAAAAAGCACCTCCGTCGCCCCCACCCCCCAAGGCCTCGGTTGCCCTCCTTAGAAAGGAAGCTGCAGGTGGGACGCTTCAGGTAGGGTCCAGGTGATTCCATCCAGTGTACCAGGTGACACCTGGAAGGCGTGTTTAGGAGCTGGCTATCATACCTCTCCAGCTCCCGCTTTGTAGATCTCAACGTTAGTTTCTCCGGAGCCTGTTCGCTGCTTCCAAACCGAATTGCGAAATAAAAGCAGGCACAATGTATGTTTTTAATGCTTTCCATATATTTTGCTGTTGTGGTTTTGTTATCGGGCAAATACTTTGATATAAGAAAATGGCAGTGCTATTAAAACCCAAGTTTAGAGTCAGATATGTGTTTTGCGGTTCTTTTTCTGAATGTTTAAAAAAATGTTTCTTTTAACAGGTTATCTTGGCTCAGGTTTCTCTAGCCCACATGTGTAAATTCTAAAGCGCGCTGGACGACAGAATTACGTAAGCTGTATCTCAATCACATTAAGCCTTTTATAAATATAAAACAAATTTTAAAGTGCGTTGTGTAAAGTTACATAGATTAAGTTATGAATTTCATAATTGTGCTCTTGATGTTTCAGGTACTTCTGTGCTGTTGTGGGGTGGTAATTATAGAATATGCTAAATGTTTAGCAAAGGGTTCTCAGCATGAGAGGTATTGAGTATTTCAGAGAACACATTAAAATAAAGGTCTCGTATCTGATATGAAACTATAGGATTTGCAGCCCTTAACGGGCTATTAATAAACATTTTTCAGTTGACTTGAAAGTTCCCATTTCACTTTGGCAGTAGGGGATGATGACTAGTAATTTTAGCAACTAACTTTTTTTGTTAAGATTCAGATGTGTTATGCGATAGTCTTGGAGATTAAGCTGTTAAGGTTTTTACAAATGTGAGTACTGATAAAAATATGGGTCACGTTGTCTCTTGCGTGGGGCAGTCAATCACAAGGGCAGTGAATGGCTGCCTGTCCTGGTTTGAGCTGTGAGCATTAGTTCTTGTCTGGCATCTGCACTTGTGATGTGTAGTTAAGCTTCATTAGTTTGAAAGTCAGAATTAAAAATTTATGACCTGTACTCTTACTGAGTAAAACACTCATTTTTTCTTGCAAAATTGAGGTCTTATTTGTTACTAGAATTTTTTATATCCAGTCAGACCTTAATGCCTTTGAGTTTGCATCTTATTCCATACAGATCCATGTTTGCTTTTTTCAATTTGCACTTACGATATTGGGTAAAATTAAATTCTGGGAAGGTTTTCCAGCATAACTTGAGGCTTAGTTTATCCCTAGAACTTCTCTTCGCACTGCAGGGGTCCTGGTTTGAGAGTCAAAAGGTTGGGTGATAGTTTACACCTTGGCATCATGTTAATTAGGGTTCTCTGTATTCATTTCGTTATCTGTAAAAAAAGGGTTAATAATGTCTGCTTTGTAGGATTTTATGAAGATTTAAAACACATGATGGACCCAGCATATAAGAAACATTCAATACATTAAAATACCTGTTCTTAATACTATGCTCTATTGCTGGTTCTTCACTGGTGGATATTTCTAGTAATGGTCAGGTCCTTATGGTAGCTCAGATGCTGAATTGCCTAGAAATGGCCCCTTTAGTCAGCAGTACTTTCGTACTCAGGGAATTGCCCATAGGCTTGTTAGGCATTTTTGGAGGTGCATTAACTTATCTCACTAGTGTCATTTAGTATATTGCCAAGTACATCTTGTGGTCCCCTTGAGGCCGCCAGAAATCAATCACATTTCGAGTGCCTGGCCTGACCCCAGGTAATGAAACCAGTTGTGCATCTAGTGGATTGAACAAGTGTCTGACAGCAGGTTTTTTGTTTGATTTATTTGTTAATACAGTTAACATTTATTGAGAACCTGTTAGGTGCTGGGCAGTTATGCTTAAGTACTGCCAAGGACAGGCTTCATTTCATTCCATTTTCTCAACAGCTTTGTTAGATGGGTGGTGACCTCCTGGATTTCTTGCATTGAAGTGATGCTAGGTGATGGGTCCTCAGTCATACAATGTCCTGGTTGGATTACTTCCTTGTCTACATGCCAGATGATACCAGATTTACACACTGAGGATAATCACTAACAAAGGAAAAAAAAAAAAAAACTACGTTTTCTTTATATTGATAAGTAGCCATACTTTTTTTGTGATAACATGTAAAAATGGAACCGGTAGTTGTTTCTTTGTTTTCTGGGTGTAACTGCAAGACCCGTGACAAACCCAGGGTCCTATAAGTAATAATTAAGCCAAATCTAGAAGTCTGGTCTTCTGACCCTTATATATTCCTAGCATGTCAGTTTTCTCAAAAAAATTTTTTACACATTCTTACCGTGCCATAGAAAAAAATGGAGAGTGAAGAGTATGCTGCACTCAGGAATAACTTTGTGATCATTAGCATTCTCAACTTGGAATCTGGCTTTCTATTTATTTAATAAAGCCCATGTTTCCCCCTTTGAGTAACCAGAACTTTCTTTTCATTGACAAAACCAAGGAAGAGGGAATATAGTTTGAAACATTTTTTTCCAGAGGAAAAATGCAGAGGAGCCTTATAACATGTTAAATGAGTGCTAGATGTCAGGAAATTATACATGCTTTAACCCTGCCTGAGTCCGTTAATGTCGGTGATTAGTAAATCAAAAGGTCAATAGTTTGCATTACTGAACAGGTTTTCCTCTTTTAACCACTGATTAGGAGGAAAGGGCCCTGAGACATCAACCTATGAAGACTGTGAAGATAACTCCGGCTGTGAAGAGAATCCTGAGTAACAATTGTGAATAGTCTTGCAGCTTCACTTGTTTTGCAGAGCATCTGAAATGAGCCTCTCTTGATGATTTTATTGGCCCCAAGCCAGGAATACTATATTCATTTGACTTCAGGATAAGAAGAATTCATCATAAACATATAAACCAGTGTGATGCTGAAATGAGATGAGGCTCCGAAATGGAACTGTGGCCACTGTTTTAGTATTTATCACTTCGTTCCTTACTTTGTCTTGGTATACTACATGGCAAAATGGGAAAGGTAAGGAAAATACCTCCAGAAGTGTTTTTGCAAGCTGCATTCTCTTTGCTGGTGGCCTAGCAGTTTCTTTTTGATGTAAAAGTGAAACCATTTTCTCGGACAGGATTTTTAATTTGAGTGAGGTTTTGTTTTGTTTTTGACTTCTTGTAATTGTGCATGGAGAAACAAATACAGATCAGTAGTTTATATAATACATGATAGCTAAGTTGAATAATACAGACTTTGTTTTTATTTTATTTTTATTAAATACCACAAGTGTTTAATCAACTTCATTGTACCAGATGTTGTATAAAATGTTTAAAAGGATGCAGTTGACACTTCCATGAAATTTAGATGCTGACTATACTAATGATTTAATACTGGAGTTAAGGAGTTAAGGAGTGGAGTTGAGGATTTAAACTGCTTGTGTTGACAGGTTGCTTTAGGCAAAAGTAGGAAGTGGATAAGGAGAATTTCTGATTAGGAAAAATTTTCTAAATGTGTGTAGAACTGTAAAAACTTTTAAAGGAAGGTTATCTGTTCATTGATTGGAACTGCATGCATATCTTTGGTTTTTTTGAAAGATGATAGTTGGAGTACATTCCTACCCACACTTCTTACCTGACTCCTTACCTTCCATGAAAGAATGTTGATGGGAAGAAGGATGAAAATGTTGGGATGAGTACATACTTGGTTTGTTAGAGTACCTGGTTTGAAGATGTAGTTGCTGGCCCTGTTTTTATTGACTTGTGTAATGATAAATGAAAAGATGGATATACAATTTAATTTTTCTGTGTGTACAGATATGGCTATGTTTCTAGGAGTCTTTCTCTATATAATGGACTGATATAAATGAAAAATACATGTTCTGTCCTAAACAGTTACAGTATTTCTTCATTCTTTTCCCCTCCGAGTTTAGCATAAATTTGGCAGCTCAAAAATAAGTGAAAAATTTTGTGGCCAAAAACACATTTTAGATTAGATTTGATCTAAAATGTGTTTTTTAGATTTGATTTTTTAATTGTTTCAACCAGAGAAGATTTTGGAAGAACTTTGACTAGTTAATCTTAATCAAACTTCTGATTGTTTGACACAAATGAAACAGGCTATTGGCATTAAAAAAGTCTACTTGTGAGTTAAGAGAATTGACTGTAAGAAGAGTTCATGGGTTTTTCCTTATCAGGAAGTTCATGTATTCAGAGAGCTGTAGTGATGGAGAAACAAGACCCTTCTCAATGGCTTATTTAAGGGATTATAGTAAGGAATTAGGAGTTTTGGAATCTTTGTTCTATTGATTTTACTTTTTGTAAAGGCATTATAAATATATTTTTTTATTAAGCAGTCATTAAAATTAAAACTAATTAAAAACCACATTCACCATGTGGTAGTAGGTACACATCTCTTCGACTGTCACATAGACTCTTCAGCTCTGATTTTTTGCCTAGTGTTTTACCCAGACTCAGGTATCAACAGAGGTCTGTTATGGTTATGCAAAATCCTGTTTTTTTTTTTTTTTTAAGATTTATTTATTTGTGCATACAGAACTGGGGTACAAGCTAGAGGCTCAGGGGCAGCGAGAGGCTTCACCATAGACAGAGTGGGGAGCAGAACAGGCAGATTGACAAAGTACACTGCTGAGGGGAGCAGTTGGCGGGTCAGGAGAGGTCTGCCGCGCCATGTGGTCACCTCCGGGGCAAGCGGGAATCGAACTCATGCGGAAGCGGCTTTAGCTTCTCAGTGCTGTGCTTTAACCTGCTGCGCCACCAGGGAGGGCCAAAAATCCTGTGTTTTAATGCTGTCGTTTATGTAACTATTCTAATTGCTGCGCATTTGGGATTTTTTTTCTAGATCTTTATGGCAGTCAAAGAGCCTGGATTTTTCAGAGCAGAATTGATTTCAGATACCTAATTCTAGTAGAGCCATAAACCACATAACATCATATCAGTGGTTTATATAATACATGATAGCCAAGTTGATGTTACTGTTAATTTTTGTTGGGTCCTTTTTGTGTACCTGTCTTGTGCCTAGCACTGTATTATATGCTGTGAATGTAATGGAATAGAACATTCTTATACCTTGGAGAAATTCTGGGGCTGGTAGGGAAAAATGCATGTAAACAAATATGATAGATTGAGATAGAAATCATAATGGAGTGCTGGACATGTTCTATTAGAGGCATGCTCCATGCTACTTAATCCTCATAACAACCCTGGGAGGTATTATTACCTGTTTTCTATAAATGAGAAACCAACAGAGTGGTTGAGAAGCTTTGCCAAGTAAAGTTTGAATTTAGGCAGACTGATTCCATGCATTATGCTCTTAGTTAGTGGTCTACTCAGAAGAGCTGAGACAGAGAAGACAAGTGCTGAAGCACTTCACAGAGAAAGAATACATGTAAAGACGAAGGAGACAGGAGGCAGGTCTGGTGGGGCGAGCTGCCAGTGCAGTGGTGAGGTTCTGGCGGATGTGGAATATTGTGCTTTGGAATTGTGAGAAACAGTGATCAGGACATGGGATTCCTAGATGTTATCAAGGTTTAGCTGATATAGCTTTTGTCATATGGCTTTCATTTGCCACTTGGAAGAATTTATGAGCTGGTCCCTGGCACTGGCATAACTTAAAGGGAAGGGGGGATGGCAAAAATTCTGCCAAGGAAACTGGAGCTTGGGGGAAGTGACCAGTTTAGCAGGGCCTATAGGATTCTCCCATTAATAATAAAAAAGACATCTCAACTAGGATGGGAACATTGTAAGCAGGGGTTTTCTTTCTTGCTGGCGGGAGTAGGACTCCAGTGAACCTCCCAGTTTGGTCAGACACAATCCAGAGGTGGCCCAGACCAAGCAAGCATACCTAGATCCCTGCCAACGGGACATGTAAGGTCCAGGTATATTTCTCTGTGGACATGTTTTCATTTGGGTATTGAGCAGGGATTAGGATCCTCGGGTCAGGTGGTGACTGTTCAGTCATTTGAGTTGCTGTCAGATTGTTTATCCTAAGCAGCTGAACTTTATACATATTTCCTCCATTTGAGGTATGGGTGTTCTGATTTCTGTACATTCTTGACAACACATGTTATCTGACTCTTTGATTCTGATCATCTTGTGGTTGCAAAGTAGTATTTCATTGTGGTTTTGATTTGCATATCTCTGATGACTAATGTTGTCTAGTACCTTTTTGTGTATTTTTTAGCCACCTGTGTCTCATCTCTGGGAAAAAAAATCACTCCAAATCTTTGTCTATTTTTAAAATGGTTTCTTTTTTTAACTTGTAAAAGTTCTTCATGATACAAATTCTTTATTGAATATGATTTGTGTCTTTTCTACCATACTATAGGATTTTTTAAAAAGATTTATTTATTTATGCATACAGAGCTGGGGTATAGGCCAAAGGTGCAGGGGGTGGTGAGAGGCTTCACCAGAGACAGAGTGGGGAGTAGAACTAGCAGATCGACAAAACACATTGCTGAGGGGAGCAGCGGGCGGGTCAGGAGAGGTCTGTGGCGCCATGTGGATCACCTCTGGGGCGGGGATTGAACTCATGCTGAAGTGGTTTTAGCTTTTTAGTGCTGTGCTTTAACCCGCTGCACCACCAGAGAAGGCCATAACTGTGTTTCTTAAGTAGATATCTTTTGGGATAAGGAAATTTCTTCTTCTGTTTGCTAAGCGTTTTTATCATGAATATTAGATTTTTGTCTGCACTTTTCTTCTGTTAAGATAATGGAATTTTTGTTTTCTGTTTTATTGCTGATATATTTCAGCCAACCTTGCATCCTTAGGCTAATTATCATTTGGTCATGGTGTTCTCTTTTATACATTGCTGGATTTGGTTTGCTTATATTTGCTGGGAATTTTTGTGTTCAAATTTTGCAGAAAGGATTTTTATCAATACTTTTCTTACAATGTGTTTTTCTGGGTTTGATATCAGAATCTGATTTGAGAAGTGTTCCCTCTATTTTTTGGGAAGAATTCGTGAAGAACTTGTATCAATAGTTTGGTTAGTAGACTCAGCAGTGACATCATCTGGGTCTGAGTTTTCCTGGTGGGTTTTTTTTAGAAAGTAGATTATTTTTTATTACAAAGTTTATTTTTACATCATTTTGCACATTTTTTTTTCCATCTCGATTGTAATCCCTGCGGGTTTCTCATCACCAAATTACCCCTGTGCCATCACCATAGTCCCGTGCATTTCCCTCTCTTCCCCCCCCCCCCCGTTTTTGATCCCATTCCCCACTCCACCCCCACAGAATGTCTCTGGTATATGGTTGTTCATTATTTTTGTTATTTTCTCGCCTGCTCCATTATACTCCTGCTATGAGTGACACCATCCGGTATTTTTCTTTCTCTTTCTGGCTTATCTCACTAAGCATGATCTTTTCCAGCTCCATCCAGGTTGCTGCAAAAGACATGTGTTTCTCTTTTTTGATTGCTGAGTAATATTCCATTGTATATATGTACCACATCTTTCTAATCCAGTCATCTACTTTTGGGCATTTGGGCTGCTTCCATGTTTTTCCAATTGTAAATAAAGCAGCAGTAAACATGGGGGTACAAGTATCTTTTTCAATCAGTGTTTTTGTGTCTTTTGGGTAGATACCTAGGAGTGGGATTGCTGGGTCATAGGGAAGCTCCATGTTTAGCAGTTTGAGGAACCTCCAGACAGTTTTCCATAGTGGTTGTACTAGTTTGCATTCCCTGGTTGGTTGTTTTTTAATGGCTGAGTAGGTGTCTTGTTATGGGTGCTTTAGCTGTCTCATAGTCTCCAGTTTCTGTATTTTGTGTTGTTCTAGGAATTTGTTCAGTTCATCTAATTAGTTGGTGCACAGTTGTTCATGGTATTTATGACCATTTTTATTTTTTTAAGATTAGTAGTAATGTGTCCTTTTCATTTTTTAGTCTTATAACTTGAGTTGTTTTTTCTTGGTCAAAGTAGCTGAAAGTTGGGCAGTTTTGTTGATCTTTTAAGTATTGACTATTGGTTTCTTGATTTTGCTCTTTTCTCTCATTACTTTCTGCTTTAATATT